GAATTTAACCGGACCGGAGATGGCTTCTTTAAGGTTTAGCCGTGGACTATAATTGAGCTGTTAACAATCGTGATAATTTATTTTAGGAATCTATAGTTTAGTAAGTAATTTAAAAAAAACCGACTGAGTAAAAAGTCTACCGAGAGAAAAAATAAGCATGTCAAAGAAATAGACTTAGATACAGGTACATACATACGGTACAGTACACAGTCAAAAATCATTCAAAAAAAGTCAAAAATATCATACAGATAAACTGAACACAACGAAAGTTAGAATCTATATAAAGCTCTTTTAGTAATAAAACGCATTGAAATGACTGCAAACGAGAACAGACGGTTAGCTAATGAAAATGCCACGAGCACTGTTCGCCGAGAAGCGGAGAAACCAATTCATTGAATGTATAGTTGAATTCGTGAAAACAACAAAGGATTATCTTTTACACACGTATAGAACTGATAAACGAACCTACATTTTGTCAATTAAATACTCATTAAAGTGTTCTAATTACATACTCATCTAATATATAAAAGTGTAAATTAAAAAAGAGGAAGGTCCGTTCTTCAAGTGGAGAACAAGGCCAGCACGTTTTGCCCGAGGAGAAGAATAGGGCAAGGAATTCGTCGTTGACGAGGCAAAGGGGCTAACCTCAATTTTTCAAAAAATTACAGGAGAGCAAGAAAACATTTATTATTCCCCGATTACTAGCTTTTTTCATCAGATAATTAATCTTATTTGTAGTTTTCTATAAAGTGTAATATGTTTAACGAATTGTCCTACGCCGAGAAGGCCATATATTGGCCATTCGTGCGAAATAGTGCCAACGAAGGCCGCTTCGTATCGCGGATGTTTTCCCGTGCCCCTGCCGAAATCAAGCGATAGTGAAACACCACGTAGTTGAAGTCGGTGCGAGTGTGCCCACATGCAGGTGTATAAATGTAAGCAAATCCTTATGAAAAGCGTCCAGTCCTGAGGGCAAGGTTAGTTTTTTTTATTTATTTTTTTGCATTTGAAACTCGATGAAACGAAAAAGCGACACAAAAAGCGACTAAACGACGAAGAGTATTAGATTACTAGTTCCTGTATATGACCGTTACTATACTCTTTGATGACTAGTCACTAGTGACGAGGCGCCAGCCGAGCGATCTATTTTTTTATTTTTTATTTATAGTATAACTCTGTAAACTGATTTTAATTTCTTATCATCTCGAAAAACTGTCCGGACTTTTTCCAATTCACATTTATTTTCCATGCTAAAATTGTTGAAGAGTGGCAATTTCGATTTCAGAGACACTTGATAGACAATTTTTCTCGCATTAGTAACTTAAGATATTTCCACGGTTTACACAACACCTCTAGGTATGTTAGGCTCTTTATGGGTACCTACTGTTTTTGCCTTCTGCAGTTTGACACACCAATCAAAGAATTGAAGTTTTGTTAAGTACATTCATTTTCACATGCATTTGCAGACTCGCAGCATTTCGATAGCCAATAAAAATATTTTCTATCTTTAAGAAAAGTTAACGTAACTATTGGAAAGTGGTTGTATTTTTACCAATAATATGTAGGTAAACATATGTACCTAAATTATTTTGCACTACTACGCAATAAAGTATGTACTTACGCATTTTTAATTATTTTATGAGAGTGTATATATCAATTTAGATCACATAGTGTTTTAGTGTCTCCTGTAATACACACGTCATCATTTATCCCTTTTCTTTATGGCATAAAATATTAAATTTATGTATTTATATTACCCTGCCATCTAGTGTAAAATTTTAGAAATAAGAAGTTACAGCTACTTTAAAATTTATTTTGGTTACATGTTATTACAATAGAGGACAGTAAAGCATTTCCGCAAAAGAGCAATCTATACTCTTTGCTAAAGGGTAAAATTAAAGTACTCTAAGTCAGGCTCAGAAGGGCTAGAACTCAGAGCCGTAAAGCCAATTTAAAAAAAAGTACTCTGTGGTATATAACGTTTTGCGACTGCGAATGATCCGATCATTCGTTTAACTACGACTGTCGAAATAAAATAATTAAAATAGAATATTATTAAGAAATAATTAGACAATTAATTTATGTTTCAATTTTAACTTAATTTTATCTACAATATTAAAAACTATCATAATAAAAAAAAACTAAAACTAGAAACTTAATTATCATATAGTCCTACTCCCCGCGGTATCGTGCCATTATTTTAACTTGTAACGGTTGTTGCCGTTTTAATTACTGTAATGTACACTCCACAGACATCGGTTGTCGCTCGCGTGGCAACTGACACCAACGATTAATGTATTAATATTCGATATACATCGATGCATCGAATTCACTCGATGTTTACAATACGATGCAATCGATCCGATGTTTTGGAAATTTATTGATATACTTGATGTATGGATGTATTTTCATAAAACATCGAATCAATGATAACTAGCCAATAGTAAACAATGCATACTTATCTATCACTGTTAATATTATCACTTCTATATCAGAGTACTCTGATTTAGAAGTTATAATATTAAACCTGTTGGTGGCGCTACTTGGCAGCTATCAGTCTCTTAACGGAATCAAGAAATTGTGATTGGCTGGTTGACAACAGTGTGCTAAGGGGAATTTTCAAAAAATCGTCTGTCTCGGTCTTCTTTTTATAGGATAAGGGTGACAAACGAGCACACAGTCCGCCCGATGGTAAGTGGTTGCTGTGGCCCATAGACATCTACATCTATCTTCGATTACGAATCAAAATGCAGATGCGTTGTCACCCGTGACGACTAAGATGGAATGCCTCGTTTCCAGTAAAAAGGATCTCCGGTTCTCTACACTCACCATACGAAACACAGCGTTAAGCTGCTATTTTACGCTGGTATTCTGTGAGAGCGTGGTCATTCCCCGGTCGAGCCGACCCATTCATGCTACAACCATAATATAGCTGCAACATTGCTCTACCACGTATACAAAAGTCTTAAAGAGTGATATTTTTCAGATTAGAAATAGATAAGCAAATCAACGCATACAAGTATTATATGTAAATAATGAGTATTGTATATTTGTATTCCTAAAAGTGGAAGACGCCCTAGGCGAAAGTTTATCGACCAAATTGGCGATATATTGAAAATGGGCCAAATCAAGAGTACATTTAACTGACGAGCGTGTATTCGTAGGTATATGGATGTGGAGAAAGCGAGAGAGGTGTGTCAGGATCGTGCCAAATAGAAGTCAATAGTCTCTGCCTACCCCTCTCGGTGACAGGCGTGAGTGTGTATGTTTATGTAGAAGTGGAAGAATTGAAAAAGGAGTAAAAATTTGTAAAAAATTAAAAAGATAAACATAAACTACAAACCGATATTTTTTTATTTAATACGCAATTTCTTAATTGTAATGGCATTGCGTAATAAATAAATTGACCTCACTCCCAGCTAACGACATTTGGTAAGTGTCAAATTATTACTCCCCATTGCCTACCACCGATAGATGTGCCGACTAGACGATTGGTCCGCTGGTCGAGTAATCGTGTAGAGTAGTATAATATGAAAAAAATATAGCATCTTACACTTTTAATTGTGACATGACATCCATTTCTATCAATCACAGCCTATAAAAGCCGACTGCAGATCATGGGCGTCCCTTATAGATTGTTTAATTGGGAGGATTTTGGCATAGTTGCTATGCTTGGCAACCGGAGTTTTTTTGTAATTTTGAGTTGTCATCAGGAAAAATTACACGCACGGAACGATATGGGGTAGTTGATGTTCTTACACCGTCACTACTCGGTTTAGCTGATATTATTTTTCTCTTATGAGTAGTATAGATTGTCCCAATGTTCTTTCAAAATTATTCGGTGGTCATCTTATTAATTGCGTAGAGCTGGTTGAAGCCGGTTTGTGGTAAAATTGAAAGAGAGTTGTCAATCACTACTAAATATGTTATTTTTTACACATTTTTACTCTTTTTTTTCAATTCTTCCACTTTTAGGAATACAAATATACAATATTCATTATATGCATACAATACTTGTATGCGTTGATTTATTTGTCTATTTCTGATCTGAAAAAAATATCAATCTTTACATTTTCTAACAATTTTACTATCTAGCTATGAGATCTGTTAAATCTTTTCCCTCATTCTAAAGTATCCAATTCCAGCCATCGTGGTGGTGGCAGAAAAGGTTGTGGAAGCACCTTAGAGCACCTATTTCTAAAATATAATATAAACAAGGCATGCTTATAAATGCTCTAAGGGAAGCCCTCACTTGGACTTGTCATTCGAGTGAGTCGAATAATTTATGAATTCGAATGGAATCATTTACATGAATAGTCTATGGTATAATATTAAATTTATTCAAGGTGAAGAATAATATTGAGAAAAGTGTGAATGTGTATGTAAAGTGACATATAAAATATATATAAAAGTACCTATGTACTCTGTGGAAGGAACTGATTGGATTTAGGCAACATAGTCATATATTCATTCATTTCAGTCATAGTGTGCAAAATAGAACAAATACTATTTCAATCAATATTTTTGAAAATGAACTCTGAATATGCAGAAAACTGTGATGTTTCGGCTATATTTTTCGATTTAGACAATACTTTGATACAAACAAGAACAGGAGATAGCCGTACCTGCAATAAGGTTTGTATATAAATTGGACAAAAATTAACATTGTGACATTGCCACGGTCATGGAAGTTCGAAACGAATAGACGGTGCGCGCGCTGTCATCGCGCGCTTCTACGTCGTTGCTATTAACTACATAACATATTATTGCTTCGCCTGCTTGCACTCCGCGTGTTAATGTTCACGTTCCAGTGTGTTATAAATAGTATTTTCGTAGTTGGAGAACGTGAGCTAGACGGCCACATTTAGATATTTTGGAAGAGAAGTAGCGCTAATTATAAACGTGATGTAGACAGTGTTCGGTCGATTCAACTGCTCCCTGCTGCTTTCAGTGGAGCGCGATCTGTTGCGTTTAATGATCGTTTCGTGCATTTTGTGACAATGGGAGACATATCGGAGCCAATTAAAAAATGTATACTTATATTGAAATCCGCAAAAAGCGATACGGAAAAATTTGCTGCTCTTTTTATGGTGACCAAGTTGGTGAAGGGAAAAGACTGTAATTCTCAAGCAAAAAAAGCTCTCTTCGAGGCGATCGGTTTTAAGTTTTTGAAGAAACTGTTAACAAACAACAATGTTGAAGATGATTGTCCACCTTCCGTCTATAAATCTGTTGCCCTCTCAATTCTTACATGTTTTTGTAATGAACCAGAACTTGCAACTCATCCAGAAATGCTGGCAAATATACCAGTGTTCCTGGACATCGTTCAAACATCAGACAATGAAGACTATGATGATAACCTTATTATCATTAGTGAAGCATACACATGTCTCCAGTGTATTGCAGAGCAGGAGGCTGGACAAAAAGCCCTAATTGAAGTTGGAGCTATAACAAAAATGTCTGAAATTTATTCACACCAGAGTTTCCAAACTGATGAAGCACTCAACATTCTTGTTAAACTTGTCAGTAGATATGGACCTGCGGCATGGGGCAATGATCCTAAACCATTTCACGCATTAGTCAATAAAATTGCTTTAGATTTTGCAACTGACCAATCTGAAAGAAAATTTGAACTAGCTACAATCCTAAGTGCCCTACTATACAGCTGTAATAAATTTATAATCGTGCCTGGTGCTGGAGAGGAAACTTGGCCACAAAGTATCTATAAGGCCCTTAATGACATCCTTACTAGTAAAATTGGAAAAAATCAAAGAGATCCTGCCCTCAAGTTAGCAGCTAATATAATTGAACTTCTTGGGGTTGAATGGACTTTTAATGATGAAGAAAATCCCAAGAAATTTTTCTTATTGCTTTTGCAATTGTGCGCCATTGAAGTTAGAATGCAACTTGAAGATAGAAGTTTTAAACAGGCATATGCAAATGCAGAATTAGTGACTTCTTGCTTTATTGTGTTAGAAATGTCCATCAACTATATGGCTACTGATCAGTTAGATTTAGAACAAAAGGAAAAACAATCGGTTTATACAAGTCTCAAAGGTGCATTTAATGCTGTTGTTTCCATTCTGACTAAAGTATCTAACGATAAAAACCGAGACAAACTCCCTGATGTGGAAAAAGTTTTTGTATGTGCAATGATTAGAGTTTTAGTTGCATGGATAGCACAGGAAACTACAGCAATGAGAGATCAAATTTATGCATTATTGCCATTTGTTTTTACCTTAGCTAATGATTCTTTCCATGCATATAGGGCGAGGAAACTAGCAGAAAAGAATAAGTCTGAAGGAGAACCAATGGACACAGACATAAGTCTCTTAGGTCAAATAGATCTGTTGCGCTTAATGCTTCCTGCGCTTTGTCATCTTGTTGTAGAAGATAAAGCAAGAGATATAGTATTAAACTTGAAACAAGAAGATATACTTTATGAAGCTATGAACTTTCATTGGTCAATTGTTCATTATAAGAAACCGCTTATTCCGAAATCGGAAAGAGGCAAAGTGAAAACTCAACCAGAACCAGAATTGGATCCCAAAGTTTTGGATGACATGAGAGATTCGAGAGCTGCAATGGTCAGCCTGTGTAATATTTTTATGAATCTTACAGTTCTAGCTCCCAAAGTGGTTGATAACAGCATGTTGTTTAACACTTTGTTAAAATTCATCTTTAATAATTTACCAGAACTAAAGAACATCCCTGAAAACCTAGTACTTCATGGTCATTTAGCAGTATTAGGACTGCTTTTACTGAAACAGCAAGGCAGTAAAGTGAAAAAGAATGACTTTTCAATTTGTAGTTACATTCAATCGACAATCAGGTTCCTGTGGGATGCGTACAATGTTGATGAATCAAATGATCCTAATGCACTTGTTGTATCAATGGCTTATAAGGAACATTGGAATGAAATTGCAGATTTATGGTTTTTGGGTATGCAGACCATGAGTGGAGTTCTTACTATAGTACCCTGGATTTCGGAGTTTGCAATTGAAAGTGGATGGGCTGAAGGCATAACGGAAATGCTTGTTAAGGTTAAAGTTGGAACCTTACCACCAAATGTGAAATCAGCTTTTGAAGATTTTCTCTGCAGATTAGTTGATTCAAATGAAAGTGTTAAGGCTGTATTAAAAAAGGCTGGAGCTCTTAAGATGTGCAGAAATCATCGGTTAATGGATTTAGGAAAAAAGTTGTTTGGAGACTAAAAAATTTTCTATGTCATCAATACATACATTATTTAACAATTAAGGACTTTTCACATACATTTATTTGTCAAATATGATGGTACTTAATGTTTTGCAATTTACCAGTTTTGATTTTGTTATGTACATAATGTAAGTATCACCAACATTTGTCACACTTATCATTATGGCAACCTCAGCTATGTGTACTAAATAAATTTGTGAACTGTTATATTGACATTCATTACAACAAAATTCTTATTTACATTGGTAATTTGTTAATAGCTTACTACACTATAATATCAAGAAAACGAATTGTTAAATATATTTGAGGCATAGGTGTCGGCTTTCATTTGAGAAACTGCCAAAGAACAGGTGAGTGAACGAAGATGCTACAAGTTAGACCATTGACCCCGTGCTATTCTTGGTTCAACAGATATTTCCTTACACACATGCCACACAGACATATAATTTAAATAGCTACATGCAGCTGGCTATAACCAGTGTTTGTTGTATTCTAAAAACATTCTTATAATAAATTACTTAGGGTATTTAGTTGATACAGTGATAAAATAATTTTAAATAACAATTTAAAACTGAATATTTAATATGCATTATTTGAGATTTATATTTTGTTTATTACGATAGTCCACTATCCTATGAAATGTTCACTGCTGAACATAGACCTCACCCATAGATTGCCATGTAGGGGGGGATATTTGCTATTGTTGTCTTTACAGATAGTTCTGAAATCACAGTTTTGTTTAGTGAGATCTCTTTTACCACGACTACACGGTAGGGTGCCTTCGGGGCCCTGCATGTGCATGTATCAAGATGGCCCAGCCAATATCTCCTTTAATATTGCATAGGTACTTATTATTGGTGATATCAAAAATTTATTTTTGTTCTATACTTTTACTGCAACATAACATGAAGATAATGCAAAATGTACTTACTTAAACAGATTAAATTTGTTTAGATTGTAATTATTTATAGCCTATAAGTTTCAAAGAAGCTAACAGTCCCCCCAATGATAAGTGCCCGCTGCCCATGCATACCTGCATACAACTTCATACCAAAGAGTAATATAACTAACCATAACCATTTGTACAACCATTAATGTAAAATATGCTTTTTAAAAAAGTCCCGCTGGGTTTGTTACTGGTTCTTCCCAGGACAGAGGTTTTTTTTCGAACCAGTAGTAAAGTAAAAAATTACTTTCAATAAGAATTACACATGTGATCTATATTGAATAAAAAATTATTCTATTCTATTCTAATCTCAAAAAATTAAATTTGAACACACCCTCATAGCCTGTAATTAAATGTATAGTGATGCCAATATAATTTTCTGACATTAAAGTTAAATTTACAGTCTATACCTCCCACTGCTGGGCACAGGCCTCCTGCGTCCAGCTGTGGGACGTATGTCCGCTCTGCCCCAATGCGTGTTGGCAAATGTCACGTCTTCGAAATTTATGTTCTTTTCTTATTTCTCAGACATGCACGTTTTCTCACGAAGTTTTTCTTCACCGCCGAGCACGTGATAAATCAGCACTTAAAATTTCAATTAACAATTTCATTGTTGCCGGCGGGGATCGAACCCTGGTTGCTTGTACTGTGAAATTCATATCGAGTGCTTATACCCTGAGCTACCACGGTTTTTTTTCTGACATAATGGATATCTATATAAATAAAATTATAGAGGTTTGCAGTCGTGAGCGCATCACAGAAAAACTACTGGATAGATTTCAATTAGGTTTGCTAAGTTTTATTTCTTAGACACTTGGCCCTTATCTAAAAATATATATATATATTGCGACATCTTATATAACTTTATATAAAGTTATTAAAGTTTTAAGAAACAGAGATTAAACGGAGTTTTTTACACGGTCAACTGTACGTCGCTTGCTCTTGCATTAGTAGGGTGGATGCCCCTAATACCAGCCATGTCCCTAATACCAGCCATGTCCCTAATACCAGCCTTTTCGCCTTTTTACTTCGTAAATAAGATTTCTATTAGTCTTAATTATAAATATTGTCACCTAAAAAATTCTTCGTAACTAGAGGAAAGTATATTTCAAATATTACCTCACAGTTTTAAACTTAACAGTGTTAAATTAAAAATCAAAACACGTACGCGACGAAAAACGCGTAAAATTAAGCTTACTTTACATTATCTCATATATAGGATTTTTGATTTGTATGAATATGACTATAGACATATTAATGCAGTTATTTTTGTTAAAATTTACAAGTTATTTATTTTCTTTTAGTGGAAATTAATGGGCTGTAATTAGATAATATACGAAATGTATGGAGTGCATAATGTCATCCGCCCGGCTGTTATTTGATTTGACGTACCTAATAAGAAGTACCTAATTTCAGCCACGTAATATAAATCAGGGCTGTCATAAACCGGAATAAATACTATTAATTAGATCATAACTTATTTTATAGTTATGCGAGTTATGATCGATTTTTCTGTTTTAAAATTGGTTTTAGATTTTAAAGTTCAGCAAAAGATCTACTAGCTTTTCTATCTGACATTTGGTGTATATTAAGGACAGCTTATGTATTCAATTATTTTTTGAGAAAAAAGTAAAACAAGCAATAAAAATAGTATATACTAGCTGTTCCCCGCGACTTCACCCGCGTGTAATTTAGGGTTTTATTTATGTTGCTTGGAACCCTAATTCTTTTTCCAAAATATATGTAGCCTAAGTTACTTCTTATAACATCAGCTATCGTTCAGTGAAAGTCCAGTCGAAATCGGTCCAGGCATTTCGGAGATTAGCCGGAACAAATAGACAGACAAAAATTTAAAAAATTGTGTTTTTGTTATATGTACCGTATATACTTTCAAAAAGCTGTTTTTTGATATTACAAACAGAATTTTATTTATTTGTATAGATAAGCAAAAACTATAACTTAGTAATACTAATTACAACTTAGAACATAAATGAAAAACTCGTGACCAGTAAAGTGGTTTAGGACCAGGCTTTGCGGCAGGCTATGGAGGAGGATGTTCCGTAGTGAACTTGTGTAAGGTTATAATGACGATGATGATTTGAAAACTTGGATGATTAAATTATTAGAAATCGATATACTACATAATATTTTATCATAATTTGCTTTAATTTATTGAACTGCTTTAAACTAAGACACAGTAAGTTAAGTAGTAAAACATTAAAATAAAATAATGTTGTCGTCTGCCTTAATAATATCCCATGCTTATCACATGCAGATTAATAATTAAAAGTTACCTACAATAGGTACTTACCAAAAACTCAAAAGGCACAACCCTATGCTATGCTGGCATTAAGTACACAAAAGGACAACATTCGGTACAGGGTGGCTGGCATTTGAGCCATAACGCCTTTTTTTTTGCTTATCGTCGTTTTTAAAATTGTTCTTGAAATAATATGATTGTAAATAAATGTTCACTATATTTTCAGATAAATAACCTATCGATTAAAATAAATGTTTAAATATATTGTGCCCTAATTAAAATAGCAGGAATTTTTAAAGTTGAAATTGGCACTAAAAGGCTGGTAATAGGGGCATCCACCCTAACCCAGATTATTTATATATTTTATCTACAAACTGAGCAATGAATAACATTGTTTACTAAGATATTTTGTATTTTTGATGTTTTAACCTTCGCTCATACGAAAACTGTTAATATATCAAGCAACGTGGACAAAGTCACGGCTATCAGCTCATTAAATGTATAATAATGCTATTTCACTTTTCTGACATAATCACGGTATATTAAAAAAAAAAGTAAGAAATCTTGTGATTGAAATCTAGCCTTAAACACGCTTTTAATAGAATATAGTTAAAAAAAACAGAGCGAACTTCGCATTACATTAGCTGTCGTCGTTACACCATTCCGTGGCTGGACAGAGGCCCTTTAAAGGTTGAAAGATCATAACGCCGTGTGGCGGCATCGGCGGTGAAAGAGTATTCGTCACCCCATTTCTTTCCGTGGAGGACATAAGAGGCCACTTTGGGAAACGCTAGAAAGACTATACTTCCGATAAATGGCGAGATTCATTTTATGCCATGCATAAAATACACTGGGGACGGGAAGATTTTTTTTAAATACTAGCAATGCAAAATAAACATTACAAATATTCCCTTTAACCACTTCTGGTAAGCTTAAAATGCTTGTATTAGAAGTGGTTCACGACAGTAGTCGAATGGCGGATTCGAACACACGACCTTTCGAGTTCGCGGTCCGCGCCCTGCCATTAGGCTAATGACGCTTCAATTGTCAAAAGTGCGTGACGCATGTTTTTGCGACAGACTTGTTAAGACAAATCTTCCGTACAATGCGAGAGACCCATATCCAGCAACCTTTATAAAGGTTAAAGGTTAAGGTAGAAGCTCCAGGGTGGCCCGCGAAATTCAAATTTTCTTGCGTTTTTTGGAATTTGCAGGTCACGGTTAGGTTGTATATTTAAGAAAATATGATTCGCGACCGTAGCGATTATGTGTTTACAGAATTATTATCATTATAATCACCAATACAACCCTGTAAATTCATATTAGCCCTTTGAATGAGTTTTTTTCTCAAAAAAAAAATTATTTTTTATTTATTTATTTCTTGGATAACATAACAGATTACATCATGACTTAAAGCTATAACTTACAATAATAATAGTGTAATACAAGACATAATCCTTATACGTGTTATCACGGCATGCCAAGATTGAGAAACAAACATCTATACAAATAAATAAAATTGAAGTGTCTGTTTGTAATATCAAAATTACAGTTTTTTACTAAATGCATATGAAAGTAAATACGATACCTATAACTAAAATACAATTTTTAAAATTTTTGTCTGTCTGTCTGTTTGTTCCGGGTAATCTCCGAAACGGCTGGACCGATTTTGACGGGACTTTCACTGGCAGATAGCTGATTTCATAAGGAGTAAAATAGGCTACTTTTATTTTAGAAAAACAATCAGGGTTCCGCGCAGAAACATAAAAACACTAACACGCGAACGAAGTCGCGGGGAACAGCTAGTTTTAAATAAAATTGCTTAAACTAACAGGCTCATAAATCCAACAAATTAAGAACTATAATTTTAGTGAATATCAATCAAAGGGGATGTCCTTGAGAATGCCTTTCAAAACATTTCTAAAGTGAACCAGACTAGAGTTGAAGATGTCAAGGTTGATAAAGCGTAGGCTATAATTCTCATAAAGTCGACATAACCTTGATAGGGGTAAAATATGAACTTATGACTAATATGAACTTACAGGGTTGTATTGGTGATTTTACTGATAATAATTCTGTAAACACATAATCGCTACGGTCGCGAATCATATTTTGTTAAATATACAACCTAACCCTGACCTGCAAATTCCAAAAAACGCAAGAAAATTTGAATTTCGCAGGCCACCCTGGAGCTTCCACCTTAAGGTTCTCGTATAAATACGGGACTGATAAAGAAGAATTAAATAATAATTCATTAACCCGATCTCATCATCATAGACTAAATTCATAACATTAACTTACCTACTCTTTTGCCAAGGGATACTAAATTTAGAGAGCATTAAATTAATTTCATAATTTCATGGTGATTATATAGTGAAGTTTTTGGAGTTTTTTTTATATAGAATAAGGGTGACAAACGAGCACACAGTGCACCTGATGGTAAGTGAAGGCTGCAGTCTATAGAAATCTACATTTCTCTTCGATTAACCCTTTCGTTGTCCCCTGCACTACACAGGTCATTGCTATTGTCTTACTATTGTGTCTGAAAACTGGACATTGAAAGTGTTAAGAATCAAAATGCAGACGCGTTGTCACCCGTGAGGACTAAGATCTAATGCCTGGTTTCCAGCAAAAAGGGTCTCCGGTTCTCTACACTCACCATACAAAACACAGCAGCATTAAGCTGCTATTTTACGCTGGTGTTTTCTGAGAGCGTGTGGTCCTACCCCGGTTGAGCCTACCCATTCGTGCTACAGCCATAAAAAAGCTGCAGCATGGCTCTACCACGTACAAAAATCTTTTACAAATTCCTTGACTACAAGTCATGGTTTCTATATTTGTATCCCAGCAATATTTATGTAACATTTAAAATATTGGTGTTTGATTTTGAAATACTGTGGTTGTCCCTTGTCCAGTACAATGTATAAGTGATATTTCTACACCTACACAGTGGTAAATAAAAAATGACTTTCAATAAGTATTAGGTAATAATCAATATTGAATATAAAATTATTCTATTCTATTCTACACCATACACTACAACTTCAGAACGAGCCTTTGAATCCATATGTTAAAGAAAAATACTACCTAATTGTAAATTGGTTTTTACCGCGACCTTGATTCTATATTTCAGTTATTTTATCGAATGAGTAAAACTGCTTATAAAAATAAACCAGTCGCCGCTACATATTATTATTTAAGAAAAAAACTTCCACTTGCCCTGCACGCTCTGACATGCTACCTACTGTCCTAGTTTTGTAACATGACGATCATATCCGCTGGCAACTACGCAAATCCAACAATTTTGTTGTTTCGAGGACGGAACTCCGTTTGTATAGATAATAATAATATTCTTTTATTGTGTTATTATGTTTTTTTTTATAAAATTATTAGCTGGCCAGGCAGACGTTGTTCTGCCATTTACGACGACCCTTCCTATAAAAAAACCTTAAATTCGCAATAAAAATTTTGAGGGTCATTTATCGGGATAAGAACTATCCTATCTCTCAAGTTGGACCTACTGCACACAGTGTGCACAAATTTCATTGAAATTATTTCAGTGGTTAAGGAGTTCATCGCGGACAAACAATGTGACACGTAATTTTTTATATAAAGATTATCTTTACAAGTTATAAACAAACGTACAGCAAATGTCTAATGACGAAAATGTGCATAATGACTAACATGACTGCGTGGCTCAGACCAGGGGCGTAGTTACCGCCGTATCAGCTGTATCAATGATACGGGGCCCCAGGGCTCCCGAACGTGTATGACCAAAAATTCTAAGGACTTCTATGGGACAGGATATTGGTTTGAATTGTTTGGCTAGCTTAGTTCCTAGGAGTATTAATTGTAAGTAATAACTTATAATCAATATATAATTATTTTAATTCAATGCGAGAGTTTTCGTTCCTTTTGTGAAAAATTTTTACCCTTCATTTAGGCCCCCCGGCTAATTTTGACACAGGGCCCCTGTAAGGCACGCTACTCCACTGGCTCAGACCCACCATAGGATAGCTCTTAACATGAACATGGACAAAACAAAGGTCGAACATTACTACGAATCGTTATTAGAATGTTAAGCACGGTGCATATTAACAGGCCAGTATTTGCAGTACGACTAGTTTCGATTCGTTCAATGGTCTGCAGGATACAAAAAACTCATCGCAAAACCTCATTGTTATAATATCACAAACAATACAAACTATGCTCAAGATATAAGGCCAACTGCACTTCACAGTTCTAGGAAGTCCTTAGCTCCTTGGGCCCACCTTCTGTACCCGCGCTTTTTGCATTAATTAACATTACTGCTATTGTTATTTCTATGAGACGTAGTCATCTTCTTCACCTTCTGATGATGTAACACTTAGGTATGCAAGATGCTACGTAGATAATATATGCCAATACACAGTCGCAAAACATCTAGACCCGAAAAAGATTATTGCAGCTGGGTCATACGGTCGTCATATTATGTATAAAATATTGCTTTTTATGTTAATATAATGTGTGTCACAACTTTATTGTATATTTTACTTGTATGTTCTACTTTATTGTACTATTATTGTGGATAGCAACACTGCATTAAATCATTCCTTCAAACTTTGGTATCAGTGTTATTGTAGGCTACAAGAATTGCAAGAATAAATTTAAAAGAGACCTCTCAATAAATCTTACAGCTAATGGAGATATTACATCAGCAGTATGGATTGCCCCATGACGTAGCAAAGGAGAGCGCAGCGTCTTTTCTGCGGGCCTTTCGCGCGCAACCTGATGACGAGTCTTACGCCCTTGATGAATGGCCTGCTCACTTATGGCGCAACTCACTACCTAAGAACTACAGGCATATCGCCAGTAAGTATCTAAGTTAGTATAACACATACACATCATGGTGTATTTAACGTATTATGTTAATCATTTATCACATTTATTTAAACAGTAATAAAATATATCATAGAATAGAATTTAATCTAAATGAAACAAATCTATTTACAACCTTATTTTGGACTTAGCAAAGACTACAAATTTTTGCTGTTTTTTTTTTCAGACTCAATAGACAAAATGTGAATAGACTTATAGGTTGACGTGAGTGCTTATTATATTCGCATTTTACTTAGGTACCGTAATTTTATTATATATTGAGTGCGTAGTAGTGATCGAATGCTTTTAATTTAATGTAAAGTTAATAAACAAGATCACAGTCCACCTGATGGCAAGTGAATACTGTACCCCATATGACACAAACATCTATAATCGATAAACAATCAAAATTTATTATATAATGATATATTGTTACCCCTGAGGATTAAGAATGTAAAGACGCATTAGTAAAAAGGGCTCTCCGGTTCTGATCAATGATCATATGAAGCACATTGATATGCTGCTATTTTCGCTGATACTCATTTGTGCTGTAACCATAATGCAGCTGCAGTACGCCTTTACCTTAACTTTGTCACCCCTAAGAACTAGTATAGAATGGTTAGTTTCCAGTAAAATGGGTCCAACGGTTCTCTGCATTCACCAAACGCTGAACGCACGCTGAACCCCCTGAGCTTAATAGAAGCCGGTAATTTCGACATTATATACAGACACTTTAATTTTATTTATGTGTAGACTTTATTTTAACAGTTCCCCTGTCCGTGAAAAAGACACAATAGTTAAACAATCGAAATGTTCGTATATGACTCACGGGACAGTTAAGATATTAATAACTAGGTCCTAAGCATATAAAATAGTTAATAGAACCTTTATTTCACGTTGGTAGAATAATGCAGCAATTTCACTACTCCAAAACACGCTTCAAAAGCGTAATATTTCCTTAAAGGCTTGGCAAAATGCCGAAGACGTAAATTCATGTGATGCACATTTTAATGATTCCGCAAATTTTACGAATGTAGTACATACATAATGTTCGCAGCCAAAATTACTTATACGAACGAATAAATCTTCTGTGGCAGGCATGTACTAGTAGTTACCAATACGATGGAACTGGAAGCACAATGTGTACTAGAAGCACGTTGCAGCATAATATTATGACTACAGAAGAAATGGGTCGGCTCGACTGAGGTGGCACCACGCTCGGGTATATAATACCAGTGTAAAATAGCTGCATGACGCTTCTGTTTTTTTTTTCGTATGGTTAGTACGTTAGTAGAACAAGAACCGGAGATATTACATGGGTAATAACACATCTGCATTTGATTCTTAATCGAGGATGGATGTACGTGTCTATGAGCCACGAAATTTGTTTTCGTTTGTCACCTTTTTCATTAATTAATTACAGTCCCTTTACGAGTCCACAACGTAAAACTACATCACACACGTACGGAAAACTACCGTACGTGTGTGACGGGACATAGATTTTATATGGACTTGTTGCGTTCAGAATTCCGAATCGGAATATCGAAACGGAATTCCGTATGTATGTGGCGGGCCTAAAAACAATTTCACTACTACATTATTATTACTAGGGGTGGGCATTACGACGACTAACCGTTTACATAGGCCGTTTTGTGTTCTGCGACGATGGAACCGTTTTACGTCTTATGTTCAAACGGTCTTCGTTGCACAAACCAGTCTTCGAAATACTTGGTGCAATTTTTTATTTTACGCCTATGAAAATACAGACGAGAATGCAATGATTCAACTATCTCACTCGTCGCGTCGTCGCCCTGAACGTTCGTCTTTGGTTCCGCGTTCGTTTACAAACGTAGACAGACAAAACAGTCATTACCTAGTTGTAAGAAACTTCAACCTTTTCACGCGACGAAAACTCAATTCTATTCCACGTTGAATTCTTTAAGCCGTCTTCAAAGCGGTTACAACGACGACCATTTTCTGCAACCGATTTCATCGTCGGGAAAACGGTTGCGTTTCGTCCGTCAAAAATTTGACAACGACCCCCCACTAATTATTACCCATTTTGAAACTTTTTGTGAATCTGCGGTTACAATATTAATCATAATTGCGATGTGTCGCAGCTATTCAAAACTAGGTATTTGCCGTTTCGTGTGTACTATTACGTGGTAGAGCCATGCTGTAGCTATATAAGTAGTATAGTTGTAACACGAATGCGTCCACTCGACCGGGGAAGGACCACGCTCTCACAGAATACCAGCGTAAAGTAGCAGCTTAACACTGCTGTGTTTCGTATGGTGAGTGGAGAGAACCGGAGACCCTTTTTACTGGAAAAGAGGCATTTCATCTAAGTCCTTACGGGTGACAACACATCTGCATTTGATTTCCAAACGAGGATACATGTAGATGTCTATGGGCCACAGCAACCAGTTACCATCAGGTGAACTGTGTGCTCGTTTGTCACCCTATCATATAAAAGAAAAAATTATTTCTTGTATTAAGTTTATTAGTATAATATAATTTGATAGGACTGCTGAACTTCTTCGAGATTTCATGGCTGCAACAATCGTAATATTCCTGCCCACACGCAAAATACGAGCTTAGACAGGGAGTTGCGGAAAATAACCAACTAATAGTTATATCATTTAAGTCTACTATTTTTAACCTACTTCAAAAAAAGGGGGAGGTACTCAATTCGACTGTTTTTCCTGCCGACTTCCAAAAGGGAGACGGTACTCAATTCGACTGTATGTTTTTTTATGTGTGTTACCTCATAACTTTTTACTGGGTGAACCGATTTCGATGATTTTTATTTTATTTGAAAGTTGATACTTCTCGTGTGGTGCCATATGAATTTGATCAAGGTCAGACCAATATTTATTGAGTTATTCTTAATAACTTATATTGAAGTCGGCTGTACAAAATTTTAAATTATTTATGTGTATTACCAGAACTTTCCTAGGTGAACCGATTTTGATGATTATTTTTTCTTTGGAAGCTGGTGCTTCTCATGTGGTCCCATATAAATTTGATCAAGATCTGACCAGTAGTTCTTGAGTTATCCTTAATAATGCGTATTTAACTGACTTCAACTACATTGATGATGTTCTCAGTTTATTTATATTGAAATCGTTTGTTCAAAATTTTTAATTGTACCACTTGTTTCTTTTAGATAAACATATTTTACATTTATTTCAGAAAACATATCAGACGAATGGTTAAAATTGAGATTTAAAAATTTAGCTCTGACTCCTGATGTTATACATCTATTAGAATCATTACGGTATGTTTGTTAATTAAATATTTTCCATTTAAAGATCCTTATGCAGAAATATTTTTATGACTAAGGCTTTGGTTCTTCGGTTTTTAACTATCATTAAAATATTTCTCCATTTTATAATTTTTAGATCATTGGCAATTTCTTTGTCGATTTTTATAAATAGTAATAATTAATGAAATAACAAGTGCCGCTTTTATGTACAGATTAAAATCAAAGACATTGCCTCCTCATTCATATTTCAAAAATCACTTTTAAGTTTATTAATTTACGATCTCTGTAATTTAAGTTTCTCTTTCATCTACATTTTTTTAATATAAGAACTACATTAGCCACAATGTTGCATGGTGTTATGTGGTAAGTACTGTTTTTCTCAAACAAAATACATTGCACAATCGTTAACATTATATCTAAAGAAAGAATCATGGTCATTGTTTTGAAATTTTCAGTTCATTGAATTTAATCATTCGTTGGAATCTGCATGCTACATTGCCACATAATACCGTGTTTTCAGTGTAAGCATTGTTATTGTTGTATCATGATAAAGTCAAATCCAATTTGTTGTGAAGGCATACATTTTATTACAGGATTTTTTATTCCTTGTGCAGTATACTATTAGAAGGTTAAGATGCATCTGCAACCATCTTGGTTTGACTTTGAACGCATGTTGCTAATAAATGACTTGTTTTTCAACAGTTCAGTTGTTGCTCAACGAGTGACTAAACTTGGGGCGCTGCGTGCGCAACACTTAGGTTTGAATTGTATTTGTTAAATATGTGAGGAAGTACATCACAGAGAAGGTAATAAAGATTGCCTCAAAAATTTCACTATAATTATGAAGATAATTTAAAGCTTTTTAACCATGTAATAATGTTTTGTTGGTGAGAACTTTAACAAAATTACTGTTCCTGGCAAAATATCTCCACAGTTATGAAAAAATGTTTTAAAATGTGCACAGTGCTATGTTGATTTTAATAAAAATATATCAGATAATATGCATTGGGTACAGTCAACATACCACACACACTATAATGTAAGTTTTTCGCGTATACTTTATCTCAAAATTATATGAACCATGTCCAATAATATAGTAAAATGTTCTTGCATAAGTATATTGATTTAAACAATGCAAGATCATTTGTTTCTTTTTTGTATTATGTGCTGAGTTTCAGCATGATATTCATCATGAAATAACGAAAAGCTGGTCGATGAATGTGGCACAGGGAGGATTATCTACTCGGTCTGATCACGAACGGGCCATCGCGAGCCCAGTGGCAGAAGATCAAACTTCTCGATCTCCGGAAGTACTTCGACTGCGTGCTGGTCTCTGGAGACTTGCCGTGGGAGAAGCCAGATCAAAATATCTTTCTGGAAGCCTGTAAGCTACTTAACGTCGAAGCACGAACATGTATTATGGTTGGTGATAAGCTGGAGACTGATATTAAGGTGATCAAAAATTATTATTAAAAAATAGCCAACAAATTAATGTTTTTTTTTTTAATAGAATAGGAGGCAAACTAGCATGCGGCTCACCTGATGTTAAGTGACTACCGCCGCTCATGAACAACCGCAACACCAGGGGAATTGGAGATGCGTTGCCGGCCTTTTAGAAAGGTGTAAGCTCTTTTCTTGAAGGTTCCTAAGCCGTATCGGTCCGGAAAATTCGCTGATGGTAATTGATTCCACAAGGAAGTTGTGCGAGGGAGAAAACTTCTTCTAAATCGCACAGTGGTGGACCGCCAATCATCCAGATGGTATGGATGGTAACGCGAGTTTTGTCGCAACGTGCGATGGTGAAATTGAGCGGCTGGAATTAGTCCGAACAATTCCTCAGAGCACTTCCCGTGATAGATGCGATAAAATACGCAAAAAGATGCAACATCTCTACGCAGTGCCAGTGTATCGAGCCGATCAGAAAGAACTCGATCGTCGACGATTCCAACCGCTCTGCGCTGGATGCGGTCAAGTGGAAGGAGCTGGCACTGGGGTGCCCCGGCCCAGAGATGAGAACAGTATTCCATGTGGGGCCGAACTTGCGCTTTGTAAAGTTTGCAAGCGATGTGCCGGCGTGAAATACCGTCTCGCTTTGCTGAGCACGCCAAGCTTTTAGAGGCCAATTTGGCCTTCCCTTCCAAGTGACCACGAAACTGCACACTATTCGATATGTCGACGCCAAGGATTCCGATACTGGCTGAGGCAGCAAGGGGAGTGCCTTGAAACTGAGGAAATACGACAAAGGGGTTCTTTTTAGCGGTAAACGCGCAAACTTGTGTCTTCTGGGGATTGAACTGGAATAGATTTAGTCGGCCCCAATCCGAGACTTTGTTAAGCAAAGACTCGACTTCAGACACAAGTTTGTCCCGGTACTCGGCGACGTTTTCCCGAGAAATATTGGCACGGCCGGTATATAAGGCATAACCAGTGCTGTCGTCTGCATAGCAATGAATGCTACCAGTTAGCAACATATCATTGATATGCAGGAGAAACAGCGTTGGTGATAGCACGCAGCCTTGTGGAACACCGGCGTTGATAGGCTTGAAATCAGAGCGTGCACCGTCTACTACGACCTTGATGCTCCGATCAGCAAGGAAACTGGTGATCCATTTCCACAATTTCTCGGGAAGCCCATAGGAAGGAAGCTTCGAAAGAAGCGCTTTGTGCCAGACCCGATCGAAGGCCTTCGCTATGTCCAAACTAACAACCAAGGGGGAGGCCCCTTGGACTCTACTGCCTCCGGCCATCTGTGAGTTAAGTAAACTAGAAGATCACCAGCTGATCGACCCCGACGAAAACCGTACTGGCGGTCACTAATCAGCTGGTGATCCTCAAGGTACCTCATGAGCTGGCAGTTTATTATGGACTCCATTATTTTGGAGAACAAGGAGGTGATGGCGATAGGCCTGTATTTGGACGGGTCTGAGCGGTCGCCTTTTTTAGGGATCGGATGGACTAAAGCTGTCTTCCATGAATTCGGGACTACGCCTTGGGAGTAGGAGTACCGGAAAAGACGCGTTAAAACCGGTGCCAACTTCGGAACACACGTCTTCAGCACAATGGGAGGGACTCCATCGGGCCCACTCGACTTGCTGACGTCCAGGGAGAAGAGTGCTTTGCGAACCGAGCGCTGTGTAAATCGCACATCCGGCATGGAGCACTCACATCGCGGGATGGTCGGCGGTGTGTTCCCCCCGTCATCTAGAGTCGAGTTGGACGCAAAAAGAGAGCTCAAAAGATCGGCTTTCTCCTTTGCGGCATGGGCCACTGAGTCGTCCTCTCTGTGCAGAGATGGAAGAGATGGCTGACAGAAGTTCCCTTGGACAGCCTTGGCGAGAGACCAGAATGCACGGGTTCCCGAAGGAAGGCCAACTAGCTTCTCGCCAATTCTGCCGATGTGCTCAGACCTTGCCTTGGCAATGACGCTTTTGAAGGACCTGGAGGCGGAATTATACTTCTTTTTAAGTGCGCTGGTGGTTACAGCGCGTTTACAGTTTACAGATCAGCCCAGGCCCGGTAGCACTCCTGTTTATAGCGTGATGCCATTTTACAGGAGCGACCAAACCATGGCTGGGATCTGCTTCCGATGGGCACCACAGATGGAATAAAAAGTTCCATACCCTGAAGTACCACATCAGCAACAGAATCGGCAGCAACGCTGGAAGCTTCCGGCGAGAAGCAAACCCGCCCCCAAGGGTAGGATGCAATAAAAGACCGCATCCCGTCCCAATCAGCTGACCTATAGTGCCAAACACGGCGGTAAGTTGCAGATCGCAACTGCGATTGGAGCGTGAGTGGCACCGTACTCCGGATCAAACAATGGTCCGAAGAGCCCAGAGGGAGACGCAGGAGACGCATCGGCGGAGACCTGATATCCGTCCGGATGAGAGGTCAGCAGAAGGTCCAACAGGGAAGGTACATGGTCTTCCACATCTAGGATCCGCATAGGCGAAGTAATCAGTTGTGTTAGACCATATGCCAAAGCAAAGTCATAGACAGATCTACCCGCATGATCGGTTAAACGAGAACCAAGCCATTCAGCGTGGTGGGCGTTGAAATCACCGAGTATCACGATCTCTGCGGATGGGACCTGTTGTAGCACGGAGTCTGCAGCCATTTGGACGTGGTCGATGAGTCGGTCTGTGTCGGCATTACCGCTATGGGACCTATAGAGGCACCCATAGACGCGGGGATGGTCGTCGCTGTCTACGTGCAGCCATAGGATGGACAGGTCAAGACTGCCGAGGCGTCGAAAACAGATGTCCTCTCTGACGTATACGCAAACTCCAGCCCGGGGCACAAAGGAGTGTTCCAATTTGTACCTCGGGTAAGAAAGATATGAAGTATCAGCCGGAGAGGACACCTGAGTCTCGGTTAAAAAGAGCAAGGCCGGCTTCGCCGTCTCTAGATGGTAATGGACAGCGTTAAGGTTGGAATGAAGTCTAGTCCTAATGTTGCAAAAATTCACGGATAGCGTGACAGGGGTCGCCTTGGTTGTATTGCTCCGCTTGCCCCGAGCAGCATTAGTCGCGAGCGGAATTTTGCCCCCCCCCCCCTCCCCCGCGAGCGAAATTTCGCCCCCCCCCCCCCCCCCTCAGAATACGCTGGGCAGGTGTGAAGTAGTTTGGTCGTGGATGCTCAGCGAGGGATTCTCCAGGGGTGCTGGTACCCTCCTGGGGTAATCTTTTATTTAATTTCACTACCATGTTGATGGGGGGGGGGGGATTGGGCCTCCGGCCACCTGCACTCACCAAGCGCAACGCAGAGGTAAACCTCTATTGGTATTCTGTGAGGTCGTGGTACCACCCAGGTTCGAGCTGGCCCATCCGTGCGACAGCAAAAACTACCGCTTGGCTCTACCACTGTCTAGGTCACATTTAGCCGCTCACATATCTGTGTAATGCAGCAGTTACTAACTGAGACTCATAATTTAATAAAGGTTTATGAAATTTAAGATTAGCTCCAAGCCTCAACCTACCGCAGCTCATTAGTTTTATTTATAAGTAACTTAATATAATATGTTTAATTTTTTTTATATGAGCCGCATGCTTATTTGTCCCCTAAACAAGCATGCGGGCTCACCTGATGGTAAGTGACTAAAGCCGCGTATCGATTATGCGCTCCAAGAGGTCGAACCAGCGACCGGGGAATCGAAATCCCGACCGCTGCCTTTTACTTACAATGCCTAGACGGCTCCCACGACCGGTACATAGTTGTGTACCGCGAGAAGAATCCGGGAATGGGGAATGCCCCGAAGCCCGACTGTGTGCAAAGAAGCACACACGCAGAAGACAAGGAAAACGAAGTCAAACATTGGTGCGCGTTCCAGCCGCGCGAAGTGGAGACCGCCTTCGAACGCGCGCCAAATTGTTCGTTGGTACGCTCAAACCTGGAGCGGGCTGTTCCATCTGGTGTCGGTTTTTTACCGCGTATCAAAGTAAGGTACCTGCGGGTATTAAGACCTAGCTAAGGGAAAATCGAAAATAAAATCAGAAATATCTAATTTGGTCCACAGATTTTTATAAAAATCGTTAATTTAGTACAGTTTCTATAAAGTATGAACGATTTGCCATAAAGAAACAAAATTAAACATTTCTATAAACCTTGCATACCTGCTTTAACAAATTCAAATAATCAATTTATACGTAATATATTTAAAATTTATGATAATCACATGAATGCAGCAACCAAATTTCTGTCACAGCGGCCAGTCTCAATGGAGCCATCAACACAGTACAGAATTATAGTATCCGAATGTATGCGCAAGCACAGATGCCCTCTATTCCCTCACAATCATCAAATCGCAATCCGACACGGTCCGAGAGAGTTTAGGCGCAGGACCAATAATTTACACATAATTTAATATGTAGTTTCTAATGTCAAACAAAGCCTTAATCCTTCGACACGTTTTGTCTTTGCACTGTTTGTACAGCTAATACCAAGCTTATTCTGACTATCACATTAGTTTAATAATAAAAGCATACGATTTATTTGCATTTATAACATTTAAAAGTGATATAAAATTCATAATAAAAGAAAAAACTACACAAGAAAAAGGTGTATAATAAGGCCTATGATGAAATTTAGTAGGCCTTAATAACCGCCGACCAAGTATTTAAGAAAACCCAAATCAAAAAAATTACCACGATACGTTACTCAAATCTTCAAGATCAACAAAGTATTTATTCATAAATGTAAAGATTACGATTTTAAATAGCTAAGTGTAATATTACAAAACATACGTACGATTTATATGGACTGATTTTTATTTTTGGTGCAGTGCGGTCGTATCTTATGATAGATAAATGCAACTCTGGTGACAGGACGCGGGGTAGCTCGTCTCTGAAACTTATAGGGACATTATCGTGCTATAGGAGTCTGTTATTATCTCCTTAAGCGAGTGCGGTTATTATAAATACGATTTTTGTTACTTAGGCCTTATTAGCCGACGGGCCTTATAACCCGCAGGCACCTTAGTTAAGTTTTGGCGCGCGCGCCAGTTGTGACGGTTATTTTCATCATTCGTGTGTTCGTTGCGTTGCGAGCTATGGATAACCATAGTTGCCATAAATTGATAAAATTATATGGTTCAAAATAACTACTGTGGTACTAATAACGAAAGTAATTTTTATCATAATAAAGCGGTCAGAGAAGATGTATGGAACTATGAATGCGGCAGCTGTTCCTACACGACCGACATTCATGTCGAACGATCAAACACTGGAACGGCTGCCGCACATGCATTAGAACAGTACAGAAAACTTCTCTACTCCATTACCCTCATAGAAATGGCAGGAGGCCTGTATCCATCGGTGGGATATCACAGACTAAATTATAAAATGTCCCGTCAACCTCCTGCAAATACACTTAAAATGCTTATGCTAGATATGGTTCATTACAGAAGTTGATCTGTGGATTCCAGCTCAAGACCTTTAAGTTTTTCAGGTCTTACACAAGTGTTAGTCTTTTTGTTTTATTTATTTTTAATTTTTACTGTTTGAAGAATGTATTTGTTTATGTCTGTTTTGTGTTTAGGGTGGGAAAGAAGCAGAGTTAGGGGGCACGGTATGGATTCCACTGCAGAAAGATGAGATGGAATCTGATTTACCCGATTTCACAATCAATAAGGTTACTGAGCTGCCGGAAGTACTGCCTGCTTCACCAAAACTCAAACGCTCAACACTTCTAATGAATGCTTGTTGATGCAATGAAAGTTAAGTATTGTTGGCAAAGTCATGTAGTAGTTTTTAGTGTTAATTAATTTTCTTAATGAATACTACCCCGCAGCATATACAAATATTACATTTTAATCCTCAAATTACTTGCTCAAAACATGAGGAGAGGTTTATTTCTAGCAAGAGGATGTTTATAGATATATATATATTCTATTTGTTTTCTTTTTTTATACATTAAAATTCATTCTTATTATTTTACAGACTAGATGACACATTTTTTATATCTAGCAATATCTGTAAATAGAACAGTAAATTTAATTTCAACTGAATATTTTTATGTGCGTTATGTATAATAGTTAATAAGGTTATATTTTATTTGTCATCATTTTTGCAATCTCAATGCTCTATCTGACCTTAATTTACATTTAAATTTGACCTTAAAAAAGATGTTCTCAATTAAACTGGTTATATATTTTTGTAAGTAATGAAATATCTCTTACATAAATAATGTGGCTGATTTTGTTTCTTGATGTATTTTTTTAGAAAAGTTATCAGAAAAAGTATATTTTTGGTTCTATTTCACAAGGAAATTCATATAAATTTGAAATTCTTTTCTATTTTTTAAAACTATATAATAAATCTAAAGGGGATTGGAAAATATTCGTTATACCTAGTAATTTGTTACAATGAGGTTAGGTTTCGTTTTAACGAAGTAAGCAAACATAAAAAAAAGTAAAACACATTGTAATGAATGTCTTACAACACTTAACATTCATTTATTATAACAGTTTTAATTCCTGGATTGGCTTACGATAAATTGAACTTGTCTGAACCTGTCGAGACATAAATTCTTGTTAGATGGATTGTGGTAGGATAATTTAAGCAGAGGTTAATTATACCTTCTATTTATGTTTTACGATGATTGAAAAATCGTCATCAAGAGGTTTTTACAAAAGTTATTCATAATGTAAAGGTATATTTTGAACTCTTATGGCCAGCTCTAGGGGATTTCTAAAAATTTGTTAAATCGATGATATTGTTATATTGAGGTTTGTTATACTAAGGTTGTATTGTAATTTAAAGAGCTTAGGCGAATTACCCTTAGCCTTTATGAGAGCGTAGTTGTCTTCCCATTCAGCTATTTAATAGCAACTTGCTGTAACCAAAGGAATATGCGCGCTATTATATCAATTTTAACACTCAAGATTTGAGCATAAAAAAATCAAGTATCCTTCATATCAAACATTCCGAAGATGGACATTATGATACGATTTTAACCGGTCTCAACACAAGTACAATAATTTATTTATAGTACAAAATGTTTTAATAGGTTTTATAAATGATACACTAATGTATCATCCATTAAAAAATAATTCATATCAGTTATCCATACAGTATGATACTAATCCTATTAAATAGTTACTGTTTTGAACATATGTATTTAATATGCCATCTACACTAAATTAAATCCTAGCTTAACATCTGTGCAAATAAATGAATATAAGTTATCCTGTAACTGGGTATTCTACAACTAATTTCAATTAATTAATAGGAATAGGCAAAATAATATTTGAACTATTTAATAGAATCTCACACATTTCATCAAATGATATAGAAGTGATATATTTTCTTTGGATATTTTAGCAGTTGATAATGTTGTTTGTCTGTGTGTCAAATCAACCATATAAATGTCTTTGCACAGTTAGTAACATTAATTGATAATATTAATTTCATGGTGTATGCTTAATAGAATCAATGCAGTAGGTCAATAAGAATACAAATAAATTATGAATGTTTAAGTATTCTCTTGTATGTTAACCAGTAGGTGTAAAATTAAGCTTCTATTTTTTTAAATGTAGATAAGCATAGTTTTGTATGTCCAAGAGAATCTATATTTTTAAATACGAAAGTCACTTTATTTTTTTAGCATATTATAAATTAAGTAAATTTATTTGGAATAAACTTTCAACAGACTGTACTTTGTGATAATATAGTTAGGGGGGGAATTGTTTATAAAGGGGTAAATATTACCTTAGATGCTCTTTAAACTATGTTCTTGTAAATACTGTTACCTTAAAAATATTTTATCACATGTTGTGGATGGTGTTGTTAATTTTGATCATAAGCTTATTAGTAGTGTTGACTGGTTTTCTTTGAATAGTTGAGATATTTTATTTTTTGTTTTAGTCGCTTTCCCAAATAATGAACCTCATTTAGCCCTCGGGTAAAATAAGCATAAAAACAGCATAATATAATCCAATGTTCACAATGTTTCGAAAAAGTATACTTTGTGTTTCTTCATTATTAAAACAATAAACTAAACTAATGTTGTTTAATTAACCAATCTAACGATAACACCTACATTACAATATTTACAATTACAGCACTAATAAATTACGCTGTTCTCAACATTTTGGCTTCTCGCTTCTCTTGTAGCATTTTCTTTTGTTCTTCTATTACTTGTTTTCTTTCTTCAAGGAATTCACCATATTCCTAAAAAATAAGTTTAATATTTATTTATTTTTTTTATTTAAAAATCTTTATTGCACTTAAGATGTACAATTGGCGGACTTAATGCCTTTAAGCATTCTCTACCAGTCAACCACGAGCTAAACAGAGAAACTTAAGCAGGTGCCATAAAAACTTGAGAATATATATGTGAATGTAAATATAAACATATACATACTATACTTGTAAATACAAGAATAAATATATATAACTACAAATAACATAAATACTATACTCTATACATGATACATAAACATACATAATTTTAAACAATACATAATACATACATTTTAAGCATACTTACATACAAACATATTATACAAAAACAACTTAAGTAATTTATAATACTCATTATACAGTAACATTTAATTAAGAAGGTCAATTGCTGAAAGAACAAAGGTAGTGATCAGTCACCATTCTTTTAAAGGCTGCAACAGAAGTCGGTTTCCTGATATGAGGAGGTAATTTATTCCATAGCCTTATGGCCTCAGCGGCGAACGACTGAGACATAAATTTAGTACGGCGAGGAAAAACACATAAAGTAGTTCCCTCGGAGGATCTCAGGTTACGATCGTGGGAAGAACCCAAATACTGAAACTTGCATTTCAGATATTGAGGAGTGCATGGATCATATAGGATTGAAAATAGCGTGCGAAGAATTCTGATGCATCTACGCTTATGGATAGGGAGCCATTTAAGCTTGGAACGATATAAGGATACATGATCGTATTTACGAAGGCCACAAATAAAACGGATGCAATTATTTAACAAACGATCCAATTTGCACAGAAGTATTTGACTCACATCGGGGTAACACACATCAGCATAATCAATGACTGGTAAAACGAGTGTTCGCACCAACATAGCCCTAGTCTCGGTTGGAAGGAAATTCTTGAAACGATAGAGGCCACGCAGGGTGATTGTCACTCTCCGGCTTATTTCAGCTACCTGAGATTGCCAACTTAAATTAGCATCAATCATTAGCCCAAGGTCTTTAACTACATGTCTAAGAGGAATATTTGTGCTATTGTAAACAATAGGCTCCAGTGAATTGAAGTCTAAATTAGCTAGACGACGAGGGCTACCGAGAATTATGGCTTGACATTTAGCAGGATTGACAGCAATTCCATAACTTGTGCACCAGTCGCAGATAGCCTGAAGATCTATATTTAAAATTTCAATCGCAGAGTTAACCTCTGCTGGATCAATCTGAGCGTACAGCTGTAAATCATCAGCATACAGATGGTAGGAGCATTTGAAATTTACAGTTATGAGATTTATAAAAATAGAAAATAATAAAGGAGAAAGAATTCCGCCTTGCGGAACGCCAGTAGCAAGATCAGACCAATCAGAGAAAGACTGTTGATTGACCTTAACTCTTTGCTGGCGACCACGAAGATAAGTTGATAACCAATCCAAAACAGACGAAGAGAAACCCATGTATTTACAGATAGCAAGAAGAATGTCATGATCGACTGTACAGAAAGCATTAGAGAAGTCAATTAATACGAGATATTTACTAGGTTGTAGAATTCCTTTTCTACACAGGAGACCATTTGTGTAAGCACCACCCTCTTACCTATTTCTGTCGCCAAGTAGCAATGCCTGCACTGCTGTTTTCAGGTCTAAAGGGTTTAGGGAGAAAGCATCAGGTGTCCATGGACTGCAGTAGATACTTCCCAGCAGGCCTATTTGCCAACTTCATTTGCATCAAAATGAGAATCATTTTGTAGTGTATTGCATCATATGTTTTATAATATTTCTGCTCTTATAAAACTTTTATAATATCATACAATGCATTGTACTCCAAAGTGACTTTCAATTTGATGTCAACTAAGCAAGCGAATAGGCAAGTAAATATTAAAATTATATTTGAAGAAAAAAAATAACTGACACTGATAATATCAGTTTGTTAAATTATTTTTTATAGTATATTTAAAAATAAAGGCTTAGCTTTCCATTGACGTCAGTCGAGTTGGGGGTTGATATTTTTACAGATAGGTTACATTATTATAAACAAACACGCAAAGTTTCAACATGGCGGAAACGCGTACTTTTTGAGAAAAAAACTATTGAAAATCAATTATATTTGCAATGTTTATGCCAATCCCCATTGACGTCCATCAAGTTGGGGGTTGTAATTTTTTTTACAGAAAGGTTACATTATTATAAGCACACACACAAAGTTTCGACATTTGGAGACGCGCGTACTTTTTGAGAAAAAAAATTATTGGAAATCAATTATTTTTGCAATATTTATGTCAATTCCTAAAGTAAAACTGATGGTATTTTGTATTGTCATTGTCATCGTCAGTAGAGATGCCGATTCTTTCCGAAAAGATCGATTTTTAAATCGATTCGAATCGTAAGCTGATGTATTGATTCACAAAAAAATTGATTTCTATATATCGATATTTTTTCATGTTTGCATTTATAACTGCTCAACCGTCCACAGTGACTACAGTCCCCAAAAACAATTATTGCCTGACCTGTCTGGTCACCAAACGACATCTTTCGGTTTAAACGTGGACAGTACAAAGTTATAGATGGTGCTATATGAAATTTGTCATCTGAGAAAGTGAATTTTATCTGTATAACAGTACCGAAATATTTAGAAAAAAAAGTTAAAATTAAATTTCGTCATTTTTGTTTGTGGAATGTTAACGTGTGAGAAATTCGATAAAAAATGTGATAACTTTTCTTTTTTATATGTTATTTCTAATGTTATTGTACATCAAACTAATTGTGAAGATATTTTCTTTAGTAAATATGTATCATTACGACAATTCCAAAACGTTAACATATAATAATTTAGTTCTAAATTTTAATCACTATACGCGATTATCATTTATTGATTATATGTTGTTTAAAATGTATTCTAATCAGTTTTTTGTGGTAAATGAATGTGAAATATAAAAGAATGATTCACTATTAACACGTTGATAGCAATTTATAAACAAAATATCTGTTGTGTCTAGAAATTATTAAAACCCATTTTTATTTATTTATTTACTTATTTATTCAAATTTATATTGGGTAAACATTATATACTTACTAAATGCTTGTCGTAACCAACGCTAGTTGAACAACCTAGGGGCGGTGGGCGGAGCCATGAGGGTGTTACGATCGTCGGGCCGCGCTCACGGTTCAATAACTAGCGATGGTTGCACACAGCAACGCGGAAAAAGCCTTATTCAGAACATTAAAAAATATAACTTTGTATTTTAAAAAATAGTATTGTAACTATGCAATAACTCTCCCAATAAAGGCACCGAACGAATAGCGAGAGTTAACATAGATTTAGAATGTAGTAATTAATTAATGTAAAATTGTAAAGTAATTATTGTAATTAGTTAATGTAAATTGTATTTGTTCTTATTCCTTTATATAGTACAACTTACCTTTCTTGTATATTAAGCCCTTAGGCACGTAAAATAATCGACAGAGCATGTTATCGTGACGCGGCCGCGGAGCAAATGAGGCTACGCGCACCGCGCCACGACGTTTTATATTTATAGTGCTGAGGCGGGGGGCAGGGTCCTCAGCCTAAAGTTGTTGGAAAATAAAGTTTAAACCTTTTAATATGTAGAAAAATTGTTGTGTACATATTAGTATAATAAGTAGTTGTAAGAATATTATATATTTAATTCTGTTCGTTAGTTTGTAAGAAATATAACCAATAAAGAAAGGCGCGGGGGTGAGGCAAGGGTCCGCTGGCCAGCAACGGCCAAATCGTATAAAAGACGGGCCGGCCGGTACAGTCGGCAGTCGCTCTCCAGCCACCGAAAAGAAGACAGCAAGAAAAGAAAAAGTACAAGTTCCTTCTCACCGCCGCTTGCATCCTGTTTAAGTAAGACCAGCGCGTTTCATTCATTTTTCGAACGGCGTTACGGCGATCCGTAACAATACTTATGTATATTGAGTATATAAGATATTATTGATATTGGTGTCATTTTAAAGGGAATATCATGTACTATTATAATATAAAATAATTGTCTCCAGTAAGTATTATACTTTTCTTGTAAAACTCGAAATAAAAAATTTTTTTGATATTCCCATTTTTAAGCTTTATTTTTAATTTGACTAATTTTCTTTTAACAAAATCTAATTTTGTATTCTTTGAATCTTTTGAGAATATTTTTTATTTGAATGTAGCTATAATAGTTTTTCAGTAGTAATTGTTTTTGTTAAGACAGTCTCGCGCGGTCGTAAAAATAGTAACATTTAATGCACGGACAGGTCAGGCGAGAATCACTCGTGCGGGGCGGACGGTAGAGTGGATAATGTAAATATAAATCCATTTTATGAAAAACAAGAAAGATACCATAGTAAATGATTTCTTATTGAATTTTTTTTATTTTAACAGTACCTATTAGGGCAGATAACAAAAAAAATAGGTTAGGTTCAATTTATATCAAAGAACCGAATTGATTGACCCTGACTCCACCTGGTACGAATCTGTCCTATCCCTAAAGTGTTTTTATAGAGCCAGAGGCGCGTAGGGGGAGCAGCCTCCGCCTGCTGTAACAAATCTACAGCAGCTGCGGAGACGAGGAGGGATGCCTGCGATTTGTTACACAAAGGCGTAGAGGCTGCTCAACCCGCAGCGCCGGAGATGTTGCAGTCTCAAAATAGATACAGAAATCCCTCTGAATCTGTCCCCCTATTTTTTGCTGATGAAGGGGATTTTTTTCTCATAAAATGGCTTTATATTTGCATTATAAATGCAAACATAAAAAAATATCGAAATTTTAGAAATCAACTTTTTTGTGAATCGATACATCAGCTTACGATTCGAATTGGTTTATAAAATCGATCTTGTTCGGAAAGAATCGACATCCCTACTAACAATGACAATGACAATACGAAATAGCGTCAGTTTTACGGTAGGAATTGACTTAAATATTGCAATAATAATTGATTTTCAATAATTTTTTTCACAAAAAGTACGTGTTTCAGCATGTTGAAACTTAGTGTGTGTGCTTATAATAATGTAACCTTTCTGTAAAAAAACATATCAACCCCCAACTCAACAGATGTCAATGGAAAGTTGTACCAAAAAAAAATTAACACACCTTAGCATCAAGATCTCTTACAACTTCAATTCCACATGTCCTTGCTGTTGCTATTAACATTGTACATATTTCTTGTAAAGGCCTCCATTCAAGTGGTGGATCCTGAGACTTAATTTTAGCGATTTCATATATATGTTTCAATGTAATTTTGCCACAAGTTTCCCTTACTGGAATTGAGGAATATTAATTAACTCATTAGATTTTATTAATTTTATGTACTTAATAAATAAAATTGCCAATTCAGTGTGTTCCTAATTTGGCCAATAACTAGTTTTAAACCACAATTAAGTTCTTTGAAAATAAATTAATTTAAAATCAAAGAAAAAATATGTATTCATTAATACTTTTAATAATTATTTCTGTATTTTTAAAATTGTATTGCAGTTATACCAATTCTAAGGTGAGAAATAATACTGCAATAAACTTAAATAATTTCTACTAATTTGTAATACTAACCAGGAAGCATAGCACCCCGACTTACACCAGCAGCCTGTTTTAAAAAATATGTAGCAGGAGGTTGATGAATAGTAAGTTGGTAAGATCGATCGGAATTAACTTTAACTCTTGTAGGTAGGGGTATACCAGGTTTGATGTTAGCTGTCCGTTCATTAAAATCTTTGCAGAACGCTGCGATATTTATATTGCGCTAAAAAATGTAAAGCAAAAATGAAACAAGTGTTAATTTCAATGCTTAACAAATTATTTTTTATTGATTACCTGGCCAAGCATAGGTCCTAAAGGTGGTCCAGCAGCAGCCATTCCTGCAGGAATATTCGTCCGTAACTTGGACGAATGATCGACTTTATCAGCCACTTTTTTCATTGATTTTAATCTAGCAACCGATTTAGACATGATTTAAATGAATTACTATTGTGTATTATGTTTAAATGGTAGTAATAAATGTTGTTTTCATAACCTATTCTCCATAAATTTAATGTAACTGTCAAAGTGACACATCTGATTGTTGTTGTTTTTATTATTCGCTCGAGAGAGTAGGCAAAGGAACTAAGCCATACAGCCTTATCTTTTTTATTTTGAATATATAGAATTTTAGTGTAAAGGCCGGAACCAAGTCTTATTTTTCTTCTTTCCATCTTCAAAATCCATAAAGGGCGTAGTCAAGTCTTACTTTCTTTAATTCTTCATATTTTCTAAAACCCGTATAGTCCCACCAACCTATCTGTGAACTGACAGCTGCGGCAAAATTGTGAACTACAGCCGCCATTTAATCAAATGTCACTCGATACGTCATTGTTTTGAGAGTTTATAGAAAAATAAAAAATGCCGAAAACCATTAAAAGTGATGCCCGCAACATTATTTTATAAGTATTAAACTTTTGTGAGCAAGAAGCTCGAGGGTAAGTACCAATAATGTCTTTCAATCAGGTCTATAAAAGAGTGTCAGCTGCTACAAAAAGAAAGAAAACATAGCAATACTGATTTCCTTACTTTCGTATTTCCGATAAATGGATTGGTTAATGCAATTCATTTCTTTTTCAGATGTTAGTCAAGGATTCATTTCCAAAATAGTTATAGAACCGGAAACCGCATAAACCACAGGAACGCAAATTACAACGCCCGGTAAAAAAGGCATAAAGGCATATCATTTAATTAAAGTTTAAATTGTTCAATTATGATATTTTTGTTTCTTCTTGTTCTTGGACATATATCTGTTAAATCTGTGTTCTAGTCTTTTTATTCCGTGACTAATTTATTACCCTAGTATGTGGACTCTATGTAGGAATATAAGACCCTTAGATGGGAATATTCCCGAACTGGCAACACTTCAGCGCAGAAGCGCCAAGCTGTCAGTTCACAGATAAGTTGGTGGCACTATAAAGGCTAAAGCCAAGTCTTCTTTATATTATACTCTTTGTAAGTTTCAATCCATGTAGATTTGTCAATCCAATATTTTCAAAAACAGGGATACCATATTTCATATTTCTTTTACAGTATTATGAACAAATTGCAAAGTGCTAAATATGTCTTAGTATTCCTAAGAACATCTTGCAGGGCACGCGGGACGCTTTCTGAGTTTTCATAAACTTGTATAAGTTTTTCAATGAGTAGCAATCTTTCTATGGCGTACGCTGGGCAGTTAAATGTTATATGTTCTGCAGTCTGATCTGCTTCTGTATCGCAGAAATTGCATGTTGCAGATGCTACTATTCACATCCTGGAAAGATGAGCGTTCAGTCGATAGTGGCCAAATCTAGTATGCACATTATTGTATAAAATTTTCTGCTATGATATCTTCGCATATCGTTGCGAGAAAACCAAGGAATACTTAATTCTGAATTAATTGATGCATACCAACGACCTTTTCCTGCCTCTAAAACAGCATTCCATTGCATTTTCCATTCTTCTTTTAACTCTTATGATAAACTTAGAAATGAGGATATCCGCAGTAGAACCAGAGTAACTGACAAAGCCCAATGAAGTAGTAAGCTGAAGTGGCCGTGAGCCGGCCATATAGCTCGAAGAACCGACAATCGATGGGGAAGAAAGGTTCTCGAGTGGCAGCCTCGTACCGGTAGGCGATGTGTAGGGCGACCCCCCACTAGATGGAGTGACGGCCTGGTAAAACATGCAGGAAGTCGATGGATGCAGGTGGCTCAGGACCGTGCTTTGTGGCATTCCTTGGGGGAGGCCTATGTTTCAGCAGTGCACTTATGAAAAGTTGTAGTGCAACTTCTGTACGTAGTACTATTATTATATATATATATATATATATATATATATATATATATATATATATATATATATATATATATCTGACTCCTTTTAAGTCTGTATTTTGTAGTACCTAAACATGTCAGAATAAATCATCAAAGAACATACATTTACATAAAACCATTTGATGTACTATTTGATTCTTTTATTCATTTCTTTACGAATTAATAGACATTCTTTAATAGACATTTAGGTAGTTTTTTACGAATACTGTTTGCTAGCAACGCTGCCTGCATCCAAGAGGCAACGTCGCATCCAGCTGGTAGCAACGCCTCAACGTTGCACATGCGGCGGCCCAAGGCCAAGCCAAAGGTATATTATGACGTCGACACAGGTGTCATCATCATCAAAGGCGCCGCCTGCCCTTTTCGGTTTGCAGCCATCGATTTGGTGATCGATGTTTGCAGCACGTGCAAATTAAATGAGTATTACGAACTAATTTAAGTTGTATTTAAAAAATGGATGCAGGTTAAAATAATTACAAATATTACAATAAAATATTATATATATAAATATTATATAATGATTGAAAACAAATTAACAGTAATTGAATAAAGATATTAAGGTATAAATAATGGTTCAATAAAAATATTAAAATACAAATTTAAAAATTACACTTACCTAGGTACTTCCGCGGATGGCGGTGAGTATCGCGCACATAGCGTTCAAAATAATCACCTCCACATTCTATGTATAGGTGACACCTAAAACTTAACTGTTCACCGACACGAGATAATACTTGATGATTCATTTTGATTTGATCGAATGCCCAAATTATTTTGTCTTTCAACATGTCGCGGGTTTCGAATGCGTGACCAGTATACACAAATGTCTTTACATGCCCCCACAAATAAAAATCCATTGGTGTGATATCTGGCGATCTGGAAGGCCATGCACAAGGACCGTCACGAGCGATCCAGCGACCAGGGTATTCTCTGTTTAAATAATCCTTAACTTGGCGAGCATAGTGTGCCGGAGCCCAGTCATATTGGTAATACATATTGCGTAAAGATGCAAGTGGTATGTCCTCTAACAACTCTGGCAGCATGTCGGTGAGAAAGCTATGATAGCTTTCACCGTTTAATCTTTCTATGAAGACCGGGCCCAGTAACGTTGTATTAATAACGCCTACCCAAAGATTGACACTAAACCGGTGTTGAAAGCTATGCGGTCTTGATTCATGTGGATTTTCATAGCACCACAAGTGTTCATTGTGTGAATTAAATAGTCCTTTCTGCCAAATGTTACTTCATCAGTCCATAAAATGTTAGCTCGTTCAGCAGCTAGTAACCAGTTACAAAATGTAACTCGCGCTGGTTTGTTAGCTTCGCTGAGTTCATGAACACGATGCAAGTGGAAAGGGTACTTCCCTTCATTGTTTATGACACTCCATGCGTAGTACTGTGACACATTGAACTGTCGAGCTGGCTCAAATGCTCGCTGCTGGATTTTGTTCAAAAAACTGCATTATGTCTTTCTGCTCACGTACTATGCGCCTCGGTGGACGACCACGATCGATTGATACAGGCTGCAATTGCTCATAATCTCGCAATCGCTGTGTAGTACCTAGCATCGTAGCGTAGCTCGGTGCACGAGAGTTGGGAAATCACCTTGAATATTCACGGCTGGCTTCACTAACGTTATCATTGCAAATTGCTAAAATTCGCACCATTTCGGTATACCCAACATTTGAGTATCGGTAAGCCATCGTAACAACGTAACGTTCGCGATATTAATCTCACAACGGAAGGAGAAACGTCGCGGACGCACCAAAGGCGACAGACGACACAGGTAATTAGGTCAAGTTCAAATGAGCAACCGCGGCCTCCTACACCCCTCCACCCCTACCCCGCCACGCGCTTTCTTTTGCTATTTAGGACTATTGCCGTTTAGAAGGTCCAATTAAAATATTTTTATTTTTGTATGAAAATAAAAATTGAAGAAATATAATTTTTTTCTTTCAGATGTTGTTGTTATGATGTAAATAATATATTCCCAAAAGATCTTCAGTAAATTAAAAATTAGACTGTATATATATATATATAAATTCACGTCTATGACTTAGCAAAATTATAGGTTTTGATCACAAACTAATAAGAAGTGCTAGCGTAGATTTTGATTAATTCGGTTATGTAATACTTATTTATATCAATGAACATAAAAGAAGTTTAATCTGATTTAATAAAAAATATCTACAAAACGTAATCAAAATGAGTATCAATTCAACTGTTAAATGACTGAGGTGTAATAAATAGGCTTTCCAGAATCATTTAGTTTTTAAACAAAAAAAAGTGGACGAAACTGATTATAACAATTTTAAAAGTACTTAACAATATTAGTGGGTTTCGTGCAAGTGTTATTTCGGTGTAAAACAGCATAAAACATTCAAAATAGTGAAAAATTAGTTAATATTTGATACCCATATTTAATAAAGTTTATTGAAATACCCTCAAGATTTTTTGACCCAGTGTTGTCAGCAATACGATTAAAATAACTACCAAAATTGACTTCAATTAAAAAAATACCAACTTACCATCTGGAATATGTTCTAAGTGTCTTAAAACAACAAATGATAAAGAAACCATCTGTGACATATGATTCGTGTAAAATACTGATGATGACACTACTGAATGATGATGATGATGCAGTGATTGCAAATCGGCCATGACTCAACTGCCAATGATAATGAAAAATCTAAATGAGCTTTCTGAAGAAGTAAAGCAACTGCATGTGCGTCAAAGTATACTTGCAACTGAATCGGCAATTCAGGAGATGACAGAAAGAGCTAACAGAGCAAACAATCTTATTATTTATGTTGTACCCGAATCAACGAGTGATGTAGCCAACAAGAGGAAGGCAAACGACGTAGGCGAATGTGTGGCTATACTAAACACTATCACAAACAAAGTTAACTGTAATGGAATTAAGGTTTTTCGTCTTGGTGTTCCCAAAAACATGCTAGGCCGAGGCCACTAAAAGCTATCCTTAACACTAAGAGCGATGGACTGGAAGTCCTCCGCCATAGAAACAAACTCAGTAAGCCCTCGAACATTACCTCAGACCTGACATCTTTGCGAAGAGAATACCTGAAGTACTTACGAGAAGAATTTAACAAACGCATAAATGACGGAGAAACGGACATAACTATAAAATATATCCATGGACATCCAACAATTGTGAAAGTAATGCACAAAAAACCTAATCACTAATAGCAACAACAAACTACAACAATGTAACAAAGCAAATAATATAGTCCCTAAGATCATACAAAAATTTCTGAAATTATCAATACTATACACAAATATATAATCAGTAACATCTAACCTGGATCTACTTATTGCCAGAGTCAATACGTTAAAACCAGCGTTGATAATAATTTCTGAAACATAGCTCAAACCATACCGGAGCTCATACCGGACTCAATGATAAAAATACCTGGATATGACTTATACCAAGATGACTGGATAGGCAAACGTAGTGGAGGAGTCGGAATATATGCCTCAAAAGAATTTAACGTCTTGACAATAAAACACAATACCACTTACAACAAGAAATATGAAACTTCCGAACGTTTATGGCTTGACGTTAAAATCGGAAATATGAAGTCCCTACTATGTGGACTATATAGAGGACATGACTCTTCAGTAGACCAAGATAACAGCTGACTCAATCAGCTTCATCATGTAACCAAGTCTAACTCTTTGGTAATAATGGGTGACTTCAACTATGGTGGAGTGAAGTGGCCACTAGAAGACAGCGGATATCTTACACCAATAGAAAATAACTTCATACAATGGTACAGATACAGTAACCTCCAACAGTTAGTAGATAAACACACTAGGTATCGTGAAGGAAATCGACCTTCATATTTGGATCTTGTATTAACAAATGAGGACTCACTTATAGCCAGTATCGATCACCAGGCCCCTATCGGTAAAAGCGATCATACCTGCTTATTGGCTACTATAGAATTGCAAACGCAGAACCAACAAACGCAACATAAAACCAGACTAAATGTTAACAAAGCCGATTACGACAAAATAAATACTAAATTGTTATCAATGTTACCCGAAAATATGGCAGACAAAGAGTGTGTGAAATCAGAATTTGAAACCCTTCATGGGGCACTGATGGAAGCTAATAAATTTGTACGTACCACGGTTGGATATCCGTCTAAATAACAGAACTAGAACAACATTATAGAGACTACAGAAACACGAACAACCAATAACTTAATGAAAATAGAAAAGCCCGAACAACCTACGAAAAAGAAATACTGCATGCAGGCCCAAAAAATTTTACTCCTATATAAGACAACAAGTAACATCAAAAGTAAGCATTCCTACTATTTTGCTAAACAAGCAAGGACAAACTGTGGCCTAACCTCACGAAATTGCTAGGGTATTTGCGGACCAATTTGCGAGTGTTTTCCAAACAGAACCACATGACCAACTGCCTACATTAGATCCGACACTTCGAGTAGAGGATTCCATTGAAGAAATTCTGTTCACGCCAGACCAAGTCAACCGAGTCATTTCAGAAATGAAAACAGATTCATCTCTGGGACCAGATGATATACCAGTAGCTATATTGAAGAAATGCAACCTATCTCACTATTTAACAACAGTAATGCAAACATCGTACGAGACAAGCACCTTACCGGACTTATGGAAAACAGAATTGGTGACACCCATATTTAAAAAAAAGTAGCAAACTGGAACCATCCCATTAGAAACCCATCAGTTTGACCAGTGTGATCTGCAAGGTTATGGAGAAAATTATAGTCAAGCATATTAAAAACTTCCCCTTCAACCACAAAGTTTTCCCTAAACAGCAACATCTTTTTGTCCACATCGTTTCACGATTTCCAATTTATTATTATGCCTATCATCATGGACTAAACACTTTAACATCATCATCATCATTACAGCCCTTCACAAGTCCACTGCTGAACATAGGCCTCCCCCAAAGAATGCCACAAAGCACGGTCCTGAGCCACCTGCATCCATCGACTTCCTGCATGTCTTACCAGGTCGTCACTCCATCTCGTGGGGGGACGCCCTACACTTCGCCTACCGGTACGAGGCTGCCACTCGAGAACCTTTCTTCCCCATCGGTTGTCGGTTCTTGGAGCTATATGGCCGGCCCACTGCCACTTCAGCTTACTAATCCGTTGGGCTATGTCGGTCACTCTGGTTCTACTGCGGATATCCTCATTCCTAAGTTTATCACGCAGAGAAACTCCGAGCATAGCCCTCTCCATAGCTCGCTGAGCGACCTTGAGCTTCCTCATACGGCCAGCAGTGAAGGACCACGTCTCAGTTCCGTAAGTCATCACTGGCAACACGCACTGGTTGTACAATTTCGTTTTAAGGTTTTGAGGTATGTCTGACGAGAAGATGTGTCGTAGCTTCCCGAACGCTGCCCAGCCGAGTTGAATCCGTCGATAGACCTCTCTCGGTCGAAGTTGGACTTACCTAGTCGGACTATTTGTCCCAGGTAAACATACTCGTCAACAACTTCGAGCTTAGTGCTCCCAACAACTACCGGCATAGGTGTGACATGGACGTTAAACATGATCTTTGTTTTGTCCATGTTCATCTTAAGACCTATCCGTTGGGAAACACTATTGAGGTCATTGAGCATAGTGCTTAGGTCCTCCAGCGATTCTGCCATAAGGACTATATCGTCGGCAAATCGAAGGTGAGTGATGTACTCGCCATTGATGTTGATACCGTATCCTTTCCAGTCCAGAAGCTTGAAAACGTCTTCCAATCCAGCGGTGAAGAGTTTCGGGGATATGACGTCGCCCTGTCTTACACCTCTCTGCAATTGGATAGGTTTCGTATTCTGGTTCTGTACTCGGATAGCCATCGTAGCCCTACTGTACAAGCACTTCAACACTTCGATATACCGACAGTCAACTTGGCACCGCTGAAGGGACTGCAGCACCGCCCAAATTTCGACGGAATCAAAGGCTTTCTCATAGTCCACATACGCCAGACATAGTGGCAAATTGTACTCTTCGGACTTCTGTACAACTTGCCGAAGGGTATGTATGTGGTCTATGGTGCTAAAGCCCTTTCGGAAACCGGCTTGTTCGGGAGGCTGGAAGTCGTCAAGTCTGCGTGCGAGACGATTCGTAATGACTCTCACAAAAAAAAAAAAACAGCACGTAGACGCGGCTCAGAAGGGAAATCGGTCTGTAGTTCTTCAAGAGAGCGTTGTCACCTTTCTTGAAGAACAAGACCACCGCACTTCTGCTCCACGCCTCCGGTGTAATGCTACTATGGAGGACAGAATTAAAGAAAACACTTTAACAAGAGAGAGCTTATTGACGTAATTTATCTCCACTAGAAAAAGGCCTTCGATAAAGTCCCTACGAGAAGACTCCTCCAGAAACTGGAATGCGTCGGAATATGTGGAAACTAATGGTTTGGATCAAATCTTTTTTGCGTGGGAGAACCCTACAAGTAAAATAGGTGCAACGAAGTCTTATCACATAGAAATACATGAAGTGCCACAGGGTGCCGTTCTAGGCCCTGTATTGTACATTATTTATACTTTTGACCTTACTCTTTGCCTACAGTGTAATATCAGCATATTTGCAGATGATACTAAAATATTTGCAAATCCACTAATAGACTACGACTGCCTTCAGGATGATCTAAATGAAATAGCTATTTGGTCCAAGGAATGGCTCATAAATCTCAATGCTTCAAAATGTACAGTATTACACATAGGAAACCGTAACCCTCGTCTTAACTATAAACTGGGCGGCGCGTGACTTAGAGATGTTAAAATACGAACAGATTTAGGAGTAAAAATTGCAGAAGACTTAAAGTGGGAAGAGCATATTATATCAACAATTGTCAAGAAAGCTAAGGGGATAATCTAACTCGTGAGAAAAGCTTTCGCTGTCCTGACACCGGAAATGATGCTTAATATCCACAAAACATTTATCAGATCAATATTAGAATACGCATTTCAAGTCTGGGATCCCTACTTTATCAAGGACATTGAAGCTTTGGAAAAAGTACAGCGTAGCTTCACTAAAGTACCACGGCTATTGATGTGCAGTCTTATGAAGAACGTTTGAAAGTTTTAAAACTTACAACATTAAAAAGCCGCAGGGACCGAGGAGATCTAATCGAGACCTTTAAAATCTTAAATGGGCATTACGACATTGAGAAGTGTGACAATTTGTTTATTCGTAATGAAAACACTCACCTCAGGGGCCACCATCTTAAGCTATGTACCAGCTTTTCAAACAACAACCCTCACAAGTACTTCATTTGTAACCGTGTAGTCACCGAGTGGAATAAGCTGCCAAAAAACGTAGTCTCAGCCCAATACGTGAACCAATTCAAAAATAGATTAGATAATCACTTACTCAACTGCAAAACGAGTAACTAGTGGACAAAAACAGGATACAGGCATTATCAGTTATCTCTACTGCCTGCCTGCTAATATATAATAATAATAATAATAAACATATGGCGTTATGGGTTTTATAGGGAATAATAACTAATAACAAGTACCCCTATAAAATATTTTAGTTATGGTTGTCTAATCGACACCGGGTATGCTTTACGTAACGTTCACAGAGAGCACTGTTACGATATATCGTACAACTACCAATAAATCGATTACGAGCTTATTTACCCCGTTTTCCTCTTAATATCTTGAGGGAGCAGAGAGAAGGGATAACATAGGCCTTTTCCATAGATTGCCTCATAAATCGAATATTTACCATAGTAGTAGTAGTAGTAGCAGTAGCCCTCTCTTAGCAAGTGGGTTAGAAACCACAAATTTTTAATTTTTTGTGTTGTTATCAGAAAGATACTGCTATGTCGCCTTTTACGATCTCACGGGACGGTATGATATCTAAGAGTCTCTAAGTATAAGGTAGTGGTAGTGGATTCTCTTACGCCACCGCTACATGGCCTTATCAAGATCCTGCCTTCACTTCATGATTTCAAAATATTTTCATTTAAGCAGATATAGCCTTTTCAATGGATTATTTTCCGCTTATCAACTTATAAAATTGGGATATATGAGATCCAAATCGTTTATGTACAGTGTGACTGTCAAGATTAGTCATTTCATCATCATTACAGCCCTTCACAAGTCCACTGCTGAACATAGGCCTCCCCCAAAGAATGCCACAAGATTAGTATTCATACCTTACTAACTATTAGTTTTATTTTGCAACACGAAAAATTGCAATGAAAAATAAATGATGATTATATCATCATTTGATTTATAAAACAATTCACTTGATCATTCGAATAATAATAAGTCTAGTCCTATTTTCTTTGTATTTTTAGATTTAAGATAAAGTTATAAAAATTAAATAAATAAACAAAAACGAGTATATCGATGTTGATTGTTGCTAACATTGAGCTCTACGTATAAATTACACGCAACATCTTTCAAGAGTGTTTCTCGTTCTACCTTATTTGAAAATTAATTTAAAAAAGTAAGACAAGTATTACTCAATTTATGTAGAATTTTTAGTTTCCTCTATGCTTATATATGTATGTAATTACTCTAAGGTAATAATTCGTCTACCTTACGTGACGTATATACTCTTCTTCATATTTTTAACTTTGCTTCTCATAAAAGAATTCTGCCAATGTCAAGTCAGTCTATAGATCACAAACTAGTAAGAAGCTATAGATAAATAAATATGTAGCAAGCTAAGTCAGTCAAGATCACAGAACATTAATACCCTTAGGCGGGGTCAAGATAGTAACACAAAGTAAATAAAATCTTGTTTTTTACATTTTTTTTTTTGTGAAATGCTTTTAATCTACAACAAAAGACAACACAAGAATTTAAAATTCTGCCACCAACAATGATTAGTACCTACTATACTATACTACTACTTAATATTATTAGTATAGATAAAATTACATAAAATATGAACAAATGAGGAATGCTGCCACCAACAACGATTAATATTATGTAATAACTTAAGGTGGGAGCTCCAGGATGGCCCGCGAAATTCAAATTTTCTTGCGTTTCTTGGAATTTGTAGGTCAGAGTCAGGTTGAATGTTTAGTAAAATATGATTCACGACCACAATGAGTATGTGTTTATAGAATTATTATCATTAAAATCACCAATACAACCCTTTAAGTTCATATAATCCCTTTGAATGAGTTTTTCTGAAAAT